TTGGAGGATCCTACAGGAGTAGAAGAGAGAACAGATGAATATTTAGGGTATGCAGATTACACTTGGAAAGACTGGGATTTCTTGCTAGGAATCTTTTTTGGATTGCAGGAAAAGTGAATGATTTTACAAAAGGCATGGCAAATCTGGGAAGACGAGCACCCACAAGCTGTGGGTGGAGTAGGACAGAATGGTCTTGTTGTGGACTCTGCTATTCCACAAGCAGACTCCAACTGGGACCCAAACAGCCAGGTGCAGTTAGGTCGTCTAAGAGATTATCACACATATTTAATTAGAGCAATAAAAACAGCAGTGCCACAAACAAGTAATGTGTCTAAAGCTATGTCTCTACAACAAGAGAAAGATGAGAGCCCCACCCAGCGGTTAGAAAGGCTTAGGGATGCCTTGAGAAAAAAGGGAGGGTTAGACCCTGAAAGCCCTGCATTTGAAACTTCATTGAAGGTACAATATGTCACTCAATCATGGCCTGATATAAGATGAAGGGTTCAAAAAGAAGAAGAGTAGCAGAATAAATCTTTAGAAGATCTAATATGAAAAGCACAAGTTTACGTAATAAAGGACAAGGAGAAAGCCAAAACAAAGGCTAAGGTAATAGCCCAGATTCTTCAACCTAAATGAAGAGGAAAGAGAGGACAAGGGGAAGCAAGAGGGAGAGACTGGACTCCCAGATCCTTTCACAATACCCCTCACACTCCTAATCAAGCTCAAGTACGACCTAAGTTAGGGAGGAACCAATGTGCAATCTGTAAAAAAGAGGGACATTGGAAAAAAGAATGTTCACAGAAGCAGACAGATGAAGAACAGGAGGAGATCCACCATTTAATGGAAATGGATTGCTAGGAGTGTCATGGGTTCCCTTCATATTACAAGCCCACCACCATGGAACCCTTGATAAACTGCCTACTGGGCCCTGATTGAGAGGTAGCACAGTTTTTAGTGGATACTGGGGCTTCTAGATCTACACTAAATTTTATGCCAAAAGGAGGTTGGTTATCAAAAGGAAGTTTAAATATTCAACAGGTAAGCGGGAAGGATGAGAAAGTACATATACTGGAACCTATACTGGCTGACACAGAAAATAAATTTGAAATGCATGACCTTTTTGTTCCAAATTTTGATTGTAATCTGCTGGGGAAAGATTTGATGGCAAAAGTGGGTATGCAAATTAATATTGTGAAGGATAAAACTGAAGCAAATACAATCATTACACTTCATAAGCTATCATCAGGGGCTTATGAAAAAGTAAACCCCAATATGTGGGCAGTACCTGGGAAATATGGAAAATTAAATATAGAACCAATACAGATTACTTTAAGGCATCAGGGTCAGATTGTATCCCAGAAGCAGGATCTCATTCAATGGAAGGAAGAGAAAGGTTAAAACCTATAATCCAACCTTTATTACAAGCTAGCTTGTTAGAACCATGTATGTCTCCTTATAACACCCCAATTTTACCAGTGAGGAAATCAGATGGAAGTTACCAAATGGTCCAAGATTTAAGAATAATTAATGAAATAGATAAGCCTAGACACCCTACAGTTCCTGATCCTCATACTTTTCTCAATCAAATTCCCTCTTCTCACTGTTATTATTCTGTGTTAGATTTAAAGGATGCATTTTGGTTGTCCAACTACAGATAATAGTAAGCCATACTTTGCCTTTGAGTGGGAACAAGAAGAAGGAGGGAAAGTAATTAAACAGCAACTTAGTTGGACCGCATTGCCACAAAGATATACTGAATCACCGGTTTTATTTGGACAAGCTTTAAAAAATCTTTTAAATGAATTCTCATTACCTCCGCAAACAAGGTTATTGCAGTATGTAGATGATTTTACAAGTAGGAGACAATACTGTGAAATTGCTTAACTTTCTAGCTGAAAAAGGACTAAGAATTTCTGAAAAGAAAGCTCAAATGGTAGAGACAGAAGTTAAGTATCTAGGACATTTTATAATGCATTCCTTTAATCCAGAAAGGGTTAAAAGAATCTTGAAAATTCCTCTTCCAAAAATGAAGAAAGAATTTTTAGGATTAGTGGGATTTTGTAGGACTTGGACAGAATATTTTTCAAAAATAGCCAGACCATTGTATGATTTGTTGACTCGAGAAAATCCAGAAGTAATTATTTGGATACCTGAAGGGGAAAGGAGTTTTCAGTAACTAAAGAGTAAATTAATTCAAGTTCCTGCCCTAGCTCTTCCAGATCTGAACAAAGAATTTGAATTATATGTAGATGTTAACCAGGGACATGCAAAAGGAGTGTTAATACAAGATCATGGTGGCTCTCATAGGCCAGTGGCCTATTTCTCTAAATTATTAGACACAGTAGTTAAGGGATGGCCACATTGCCTTCAAAGTCGTGCAGCCACAGCTCAAGAAAGTCATGCAGCCACAGCTCAAGTGGTGCTTGAGGCTAGAAAGCTAACTAATGGAGGAGTTTAGTAGTTAAGAGTCCCACACCAAGTTAAAGCATTATTAACCGAAAAAGGCTCCAAACGGATGACTAATGCACAATTGTTGTAGTATGAAACTTGTCTAATGGAGCAAGATGATTTAGAAATCAAAGGTAGAAAAAGTTCCAATCCAGCTTCTTGTTTAAACAGGGATGAACAAAACCCTGAAATAGTTGATGATTGCATTCAGGTAATAGGTCTTCAAACATGAGCTAGAATTGACCTAACAGATGGTCCACTATCTAGATGACAAAATGTGTTTATTGATGGATCCTTACAGGTGATAGAAGGGAAGCGTTATACTGGGTATGCTATAATTGAAGGAGAACAGTTAAAAGACTGTGGTAGATTACCTTATGTCTGGTCAGCACAAACAGCTGAACTATTTGCTCTGATACAAGCTTGTGAAATACACCAGGGAAAAGCAGTTAATGTCTATATGGATTCCAAATATGTGAAATTACGGGAAGAAAGGGGATTTTTAACCTGTAGAGGCAAGGCACTATCACATGAGAATTTGATAAAGAGATTATTGAAAGCCATGGATTTACCTGAACACATAGCAGTGGTCCATGTTAAAGAACATCAAATGGGACATCAAACGCTTCTGCAGAAGTGATTGGCAATAGATTAGCAGATGAAGAGGCCTGGAAAAAAGTACTTTTGCTTGAGGTATCTGAAGTATTTCCCCTCCTACCAGTGACTCAATTATTGCCAGAAAGAATGTCCTTCTTGCCACAAGAATTGGAAACAATTAAAAACAGTGGAGCAGAAAATAGAGGGGAAAATTGGTTCACAAAAAAGGGTAAAAAATGGATACCGAAGACATTGGCCTTACAAATATTAAAACAACTTCATGGAGTCATTGAGGCTCCTGAGCACTAGCAGAGGCCTTTATTAAAATGTACGTGACATTGAGCCCTTTTGCTTTACATATTCCATAGTACCCTCAAAGTTCTGGATGAGTAGAATGTACGAACGGAAAGATCAAGAAATATCTTTTAAAATTAGTAATGGAAACAAAAATGCCCTGGACTCAGCTTTTACCTATAGTTTTAGCAAGGATAAGAGCTAAACATCAAGAAAGTCTTAAGTTATCTCCATCTGAGATAATGTCTGGAATCCCTTATTCGGTTGGGTTACAAAAAGAAAGTAGAATAGAAATAACTGATTTTTTCATAAAGCAGCATGTGGCCAGAATACTGTCTGTTGTAAAATCTCTTCAACAGGAAGCCCAGCTGGCACAAACTCTACCCTTGGATTTCGCAGTTCATGACATCCGGCCAGGAGACTGGGTTCTAGTTAAGGACTGGAAAGAAACACCACTGGTGGGAAAGTGGTGCAGACCATATTAGGTGACACTGACCACAGACACAGCAGTTAAGACTGCTGAGGATGGGTGGACTCACCATACACAAGTGAAACCTTCTAGAGCACCAGAGGTCTGGACTTCACAACTAGAAGAGAAAGAAGGAAAGCCTAAACCTATACTACACAGAAACCCTGAGTAGAAGCGTATGTGTTGATTTAGGAAGAAGTTCCTGCATCTACCCACTGAGCATCTACTTAATGTCTACTCAAATGGACCTTCCTATCAACAATCAAATGAAGATAAAACTTTTGATCCTGTTTCTTTGTTATCACCTGTGCGCTGGTCACATAGAAGGAAATAGATTTTTAGCACTAAGGGAAGAAATTGCAAAAGCTCAATTCACGGGAGTTCCAAATAGCTGGTCCATAATGCTCAATAATCCTTTGAGAAGTCCACTCATTCTTTTTCCATTTTTTGTTTTCTTCCTCCTGTAGGGGAGGTATTAAGTTCTCGTTGTTTTGGGTTTTTTTATCATCATATACTTTTATTCCCAAACTATTCCCCTGCATATGGCTTAATAAAAAGAATAAGGGTTTAATACATCCTACAAAACAAATTCCTTGTCCAATTTTCAGGTAATCTTCTATATGTGTGTTGGTCACAGATCCAACAGTGTCCTTTAACTGCCCAGTTTACATTGGACAAGGGACCATCCCAGAGGTCCTCATTTTCTGGGACTTGAAAATAAAGAGTATTTTTCTTTCCTAACGGCCCGCTACTATACGTATTTCAGGATCCTTGTTGGGATAACGTGGGAGAAGATGAATATGAAGATTGGAAGAGAAGTGTTGAGCCCGAGATTCCCTGCGAAGATGAGACCATCGTATGAATGGATATGAACCGTTTAAGAATAAGCATTTCGGAATTCACATTATGTTTCTCAGTTCATTGTGTAATCCCCTATAGATACATACAGTGGACTGTAAGTTCTGGAAAATTCCCTTATCCCTCATGGTCTTGAACCCTGCCCTCCTATTGGTAAATCTTTGCTGCATTGTAGAACCCTTCCCTATATGGTTGTGTCATCCTCCTGTTTTGCATGCTCCTCCTTTACTCCTCCTCAGTTACGTCCTCTTCCTTGCAAGTTCTTACTCTACCATATATAAGGCGGAAGCCATCTTAATGAAGTGCCATTTCTCCTTGGATCCCAGAAGTGTGCAAACCCATTTGTCCCAGCTAACAGCCGCAAGATAACAATATCACGGAACCCCCGTGAATTGATTCATGGAACAAGAGAGTCCATCTATAATTTAAATCATATAATTTGACTCCAAGCTATATTAGAGATTATTGCCAATCAAAGAGCTAGTGTTAGACTTGCTGGCAGACCAAGTAACCCAAATGAGAACTGCCAACTTTAAACACCAAATGGTTTTTGATTTTTTGTTAGCAGTGGAAAGTGGAGTATGTGGAAAATTAAATAACTCAAATTGCTGCCTGCAAATCGATGACAATGGAAAAAGAGTAAAACAAATAACAAAACAAATCCGAAAGTTAGTCCATGTCCCAGTTGAAACTTGGAAGGAGTGGGGCATAGATATGTTTTCATGGCTTGCAGTTGGACCAGCAATAAAGAAAATACTATTCTTTGTTTTTTGCAGGTAAGCTACCTTAATTTTCCTGCCTTGTGTGATTCCTTGTCTTATGCAACTTATTGCACATGTGATGAAGGGGATGCAATTAGTAGCTATGCCTAATGACTCTGAAATGGCAATTAAAGGACAGAAAATAATGGCTCTGAAAATAGTGTGTAAATGAGAATTACCAACTACTCATTCTCAAGAAACTTTAACCATAGATATTGAAGCAGATCAAGAGACAACTATTAACAAAATGGTACTCCCTTTTGCAAGAACATAATTTTTAAAAAAAGGGAGGATTATTAGGAATAATAATATTGCAAAGTTTGTAGTAGTCATAGTTAACTTAGTAGGAGGGGATAGAACAGTTATGTAGTTGTCCAGTATGAGATAATACAGTGCCCAGAACACGGAGACCAACAGCAGCAAGGGATAAATATGCAGTAACCTCCATTTTGAAAATGTTGGGGACCCCCAAAGCCCTTAATGAGCATGTAATGGGGGACATGTAGTAGGCATGTCAGACAGTCTGTAACCCCGGAATACCTCACTCAGTGGAGAAACGGGGAGGGACTTGAGTTTTGGGCAGAGTGGATAAAAGAGGCTGCGACCCCTGTCAAGCTGAGAGACCTCACTGGGGCATTGTCCAAGGAACCCTCCCTTTTATTTGAGTGAAAGTTTTAGTTAGTTCTTCTGTCTCTTGACCATTTTTGAGGCTCTTAGTATATGGATTTTTCAGAAAACTTATAATCATGACCTTCTTATCCTGAGAAAATGCAAATACCTACATGTTGTAAGGTCACACTTCAGAAACCAAGCACTGGATCATCTTCCTCTTTTCTCCCTACTGCTCCAGGAAGAACTATCTGCAAATACAACCCAAATTAATACTACTTCAATTTCACTCATGGAAAGAGAGAAGGACGCAGAAGAGGCCCTCATCAATGCAATCAGTTCAACATGGTTTTTCTCCTCAGAAAAGCTAATTGGAACTGTAACTTTCTTGTTTAAATAGTACAGGGTTAATAGCAGACAAAATGTATGTGACTAAGCATATTTCTCATACACCTGAGTGTCCTTCGTTCTCTGCCATCAGCTCCAGATAAGTCTCAGGACTACAGTGAGGCCTCTTGTACTGTTGAGTGGGAAGATGCTACAACCCTGAAGTCTCCCACATAGAATAAAGTAGTGTGTGAAGATTCTTTTAGTACTTAAGAAAAAACCAAACTACCAAATACGTTTCTCTTTTGGAGCTAAATTACTATACTGTGAAATAAAATGTCTTATTCATTCCAGTACTAGATTTTTCTGTCTTGTTAAGAACAAACTTCCAGATAATTACCTGAGGATTAACCGCTCTGGTAAGGATGCCTAAAAACACTGCTCTTCCTACTTTAAACATTTTTTTCTGTAAATTACAAATCATTCTGGTTTTGACAACTCTACATTTTATACAACAGGTAACACTGTACAGACTATACAGTGTTCAAATACAATGCTGATAAAATGCAGTAACTGCTGCTAGTCATATGGGTTTCCAATCAGTCCATAAAACTTTATCTAAGGTTGATTTATGGAGCTAGCCTGGAGATGTGTTATTAATAGATACAGAGGAGACAAACCTGCTGGTTCTGAAAAGATCCCATTCTGATAAAAATTAGTGAAAGCTAAGAAGAACTGGATCATGACAGTTAACTGTATAAATACCTACAATTTTTACTATAGCATAGAACTCTTTGGAACTATTTTAAGCAATAATAACTCAGTTCTTAGAGATGCTGACACTTAAAGCTACCACCCCCTGCTGAGTTTCTCAGAACTTTTCCAAAATCAGGCAAAGGAATTCTCATTAAGGTAAGTGGTTGCTGTTCATTTCAGGGTCTCCTTTTAATGAACAGCTTATACAGATGCTTGTGCATGTGCAGCAATTCTTTCACATAGTTTAAAACTTTAAAAATGGATAAAAAATATCCATTAAATCAGACTCCTATGTATTATTACAATCCTTCAATTATTGACTGAATGGAAGACATTTAAAATACAAGGGGAAAATTACAATCCCTATCACTCTGTAATACTAATAATGATAAAGTCTAAACAAACAGGCAGGTTGGATCATTAATTCATTCCAGCAATGAATATAACAGGTGTTACATTCTCTCTGGAATTTTGAATGGTAACAGTCCACACAAATGTTTCTTTCATCTTCGAGCTGTGTCAGAACAGATGTAAAGTATACTTTTCCGTTCTGAAACAAACCCCAACTCCCAAAACAAAACACATTCTAACTCACCAACTTTTGAGAAAGTACACCAGAACCCCATGCACCTGCCACTGTCTTCTCCCGACAGAGATCATTCTGCTTCATGCCCTAAACTTAGGGTATGGACCTGGGCAGCCTTTTAATGGTTTGGAGTTTCCGTAAGAAATGTTTCCTCAACACATAACTGAAGGCCCTCAAAAACTAGACAAATAGACATGAGCAAAAAGATTAATTGAAGCTGTAATTTTCTCTTTACTTATGAGTGACATATGATACTACTAAGTTCTGAAATACTCACGCCATAAAGAAACAAGCAGGTGCAGACAACAACATGTATTGCAATGTTGTATGCTGTGATTACTACAGCACTCATTCTGAGCTCATTTCATTGTATTATATTACTTCAGACCAGCGAAACCAAAGTCTATGGAGTGAAGCAATTGCACAAATATGAATGGAGTCCGTATTTTTAACATAATGCACAATTTCTAAACACAAATGTATAAATCCATAATAAAAAGAAAACATTATTGAAATATTTTAGCTTGGTTGTTGGTTTGGTTTTTGTTGTTTGGTTTTGTTTTTTTTTAATACACAAGTTATTTAGGTCAGGAAAATTATATGTCTCTTAAACATTGCAACAGTTTTTTGTCAGTGCTGATTTTTTGACAGGTGTCCCAGCCAGGCTGGTTACTGACCTCGTATCATCTTGATTCTCACTTCGTTTTCGCACTTCACTGTAAAAAAAAATCACCAAACAAAAAATGCACTCAATTATAATATTTCTATTCACGTTCACTGTTCTGTTTCTCCCACTATATCTTACAGAGCCTACCACCATCTGTTGCATGGCTAAAACTATGGAGTTAGTGCACAGAATCAACATGTCTCATAAGTTTCTAATTTTGGAATCATATGGGTATTTCTATGCAATTCATAGTTAGGCATAAAAATACAATTATACCTAATACCTAATAACTCCCCAATGTTCTGATAGGCCTTTCCTTTTCTTTTAAGAATTTTTATTTATTTGCTTCAGAATATGTTCATAGTTGAAAGCGTAAAACTAAATAACTTCTATTTCAAGTATAAATTTATCTTCAGAATAAAAATGCACATTGTTGGATGTTTTTTATAAATGTGGGCTTAAAAGTTGCATATGTATAAGTGATTACTGATTACAGAACACCAGTCTTGAAAAATTGTACTGTAATCAAAAATTATTTGGAAAGGTAATGGAAGTGTAATGTTTGGCTCACACATTATCACAGAAATACCAGGGCGCTAAATGAACATATAAAGAATTTCTATCTTGTAAGTAATTCAAAGAAAGGGACATCAAAGAAAAATGTGCAATTAGAATGGTCAGTAACAGAACTGAGCTTATATTAGTATATGGGAAAGAATTAAAAATTAATTATACATAGAATTACACACATCTGAAAATAATTTAAGAGAGAATTAGGAAAGTAAATCCATGTACAATTAAAAATGTAATTCATTCACCAAATAGGTTTTAAAACTGTGGGCTCCATAACTGAGCTCTAATTTGAATATTAATTATTGAGACAGCTTTGTAACATTTGCAAGCAAAAATGTTACTTGATTCAACTGAAAATAAATCCTGTCCCTCATTTATCTATAACAATTCAACATTCTTTAAATTTTTTATTGTTTATATTGGTACAATCTTAAAACTACATGTATGACTTTGTATGTATATTCATATATTATGTCCTTTCTACAAAATACACTCAGTTGTGTTTATTTAAAAAAGGAAATAATGTTACCGAGCAAGATGAAGAACTGCTTCTACAATATTAGATCCATCTTTAGCACTTGTTTCACAGAATAGCGCATTATAAGTCTACGAGTAAAAATAAAATGTTAAGCCAACTAATCTGAAATGATTCCCATGTGAACATGTATATTTAATTACAAATGGTTTCCTTAGTAACACAAGAAAATGATGACACACATTTAAATCAACAGGATTTCTTCTAATGCTCTTAATTCTCCAAAATATTCACTTTAGTACTGTGAAAGAAAACAGTAATTGTTTTTTAATTATAGCTGTTTTATATTCAGTACAGTCTGAATTAATAAACTGAATAAAAAATATTATAGTTTGTAACTCCAAACTCAATCTTCTAGTTCACAAGACTGCAAAATATGAAGAGAGTTCCTAGGACAGGTTACTCAATCTAGATTGTTAGTTACTCAAACTACAGCATCTGATAGTCTAGGTTAACCAAAAACATAATTCCATAAGTAACAGACATAGTATCTGCTGCAGTTCAATCAAACAATTGTACAATCACTTAGAGACTCAAGACTCTTAAGATTCTCTATACTTTTCTGCAAAATATAGGATTTGTGCATCTCTTATCCCCCACATGCAAAAAAAATTGTCCACACTTCTATTCATAGCAGGGAATTCCGTTTTTGTGTCTGCACATGTGGCAGAAATACAAGCTAGCCTCTTGAAGATGAAAACATTCCACTTAAAACCAGGACAGACACAAGCCAGTCGAAAAGCCTAACTAAATAGCATGCTTCATATTTGAACCAGCCACTTCTCTTTGGCAGCACAAAAACTCAGTCTCCTAGTCCAACCACTTTTTTTACAAAAAGGACTGAGAAGACTATCCCAGCCAATAATAAAATTAAGCTTACTAGACACTGAGAGGTGATTTAACCCAGCAAACACCACCAAAATAGGATAGTTTTAATGAAAAGTATCCATGAATACTCATTACTCGATTTGGACAAATGACTAGAAAATTACTTCTGTTTACTACCTTCTTATGTGGTTTTCAGATTAAAGTTCTTAAGACCTTATTATACTAAAGCGGTACACTTCGACCTTACCATAGCCAGCCTTTCTCCATAGTTTACAGGCACACATTTTTGCCCTTGTTCTGTAACAGCTTGACGGAGATCTACCTTGTTTCCCACCATCATAATTGGAATAGTCTCATGAGTTGCATCCTGTAAAGAGAATTTTATTGCTAGAAAACACTAAGAATACAAAAAAGTAGCTAAGATCATCATGTCACACTGATTTCTTTCCCACAAAAGGTCTTGCGCACTATCAGAGAAAGTTGACTAATTATGAAAGTTATGCTGAGAACTTTTTGTAAACCATTTAGTATGTAAGCAATCAGCTTAAACATCAGCCTGCAAAGACGTGTTTCCATTCCTATAAACCCTGCTTCCTGACAATTAATTTAATGTATGAAGTTAATCTAATGGAATTAATTATTGCATCCAAATGCTATATGACAAAATCACTATGGGAAAAGTGACCAACTCCTATACATGATGTAGAAAAAATGCTTTCAGAAGATAAAATAAATATTTTGCTTGCCACTTTCGTCCTATTAAATACCTTCAGCACGAGAAAAAAACCCTTTGCATTAAATGCAAATTCACATTCAAACAAAAAAACAAGAATATTGGTTTAAAACGCAAAGACTCCAAGGAATAATCAAGCCATCCACAAGAAGGTATCTGAAATGGGTTCTCATGTTCATTTCCAAAGGAAATGTTGTGATTCCACAACAACCTTTTACACAAAGATGTATCATACTGCATGCTAACTGAATATGTCAGGATGCATTTAGGACTTCGATATAGTTTTTACTTCTATGAGCGCCTGCAGTCTGGCTAACTACAATTTACAGATAATAGAATTTTATAAATAATAAGGTTAACAATGCAATGAAACATAGCTTATAAGTTGTATATACTTAAGGGTATTACCGCAATCATATCCACCCATTCTCTCACGTTAAGAAAGCTTTTTTCACATGTTACATCATACAGTAGTAAGACACCATCCGCTCTTCTGAAGTATGATTTAGCAATACTTCGGAATCTTTAAGAAAAAAAAGATCTGCATAAGGCCATATTATCAAAAAATAATTAACTTTAACATCATTAAGAAAGGAGCATTTCTTAATTTCACTACTGAGTAAGATTCTCTCCACATTACATGATGATTTTTCTCATAGCTTCTTCTGTAAGTAGTTCTTAAAAACTGCTGATGGAGGTCTACAAGTGCTCCCTAAGGATCAACAGGATTGTGTCCTAAACAACAACCAATATTTTGTATATCAAAACAATCTACAGTGTATCTATCACAGATAATCTGTTCTCAAGTTGTGCCAGGGAGGATTAGATTGTCTTCACTAAATGTCCTCACTGAAAAGGTGGTCAAGCATTGGAATGAGCTGTCCAGGGAAGTGGCAGAGTCGCCATCCCTGTAAGTGTTCACAAAGGCACGTGTGGATGTGGCTCTTGGGGACACGGTTTAGTGGTGAACACAGCAGTATTAAATTAACAGCTGGATTCAATATGCTTAGAGGTTTTTTTCAAGCTTAATGGTTCTATGATTCTACAATTCATTTACATATAACTTCCTAAATTGAGGGGGTTACTTTACCTCCTTTGAAAAAAGATAGGAAACCAATAAAATTATTCCAGAGATTAACTATCTTTGACATGAACTTTACACAACGTACTTAACCAAAGTACAGCAACTTTGTTTTTACATTGGATATTAAAATATTCTTCACAAATTCACTACATGGAAGGAGAATGATTGGGCCACTACTTCCCTACTTCACATAATCACTCATTCAGGTAAAAGTAAGCACATACAGCCCAACAGAAATTTTGGTCAATGAACAGATTAAAGTGACTTCCAAGGTGCTACATTAATCTCTCAATAAACTCCGAAGGCTGTCAGTAAAGAAGTCATGGCTCTCAAGAAAAGATGACATAAGACTTTGAAGAAACTTTATGTAATAATTTAAGAATCTTGGATATATATTCAGCAATCTGTGAAGAGACTTACGGCAAAATTCCCAAGTTTTTGGGAAGAAGTTTTCATATCCTAAATACAATGCAAATCAGGACTAGGGTTTTCAAAGAGGAGAAGAAAGAAGAGGAGAGGAGGGGGAAGGGAATGTCTAAGAAAAAGCCTGCTTAAAAAGTGTGTAAGGACAAAGAAAGCTAAAGACTAAAAACAGAAAAACAATGTGCATCTTTTTGCATTGCAAAAGAGGGACACATGGATTTAATTAATTAATCCTGTGGTGAACCTTAACAATTTCTCTCTGTGGAGAGAAAAGATTACCTCAAGCATCACCAAAGCTAACAAAAAAACATTGCACCTATCTTAGAGTCTCAGCAGAGAAAAATCACTTCTGTTTATAGATATTTACATATGGCCATATTGACTTGCTGTAGGACTATACAATTAGTGGATTTTTTTCACCTAGGTGAAAAAAGGTAAATGACTTTTACAAACAAAAGAATTCAGAATAGAGAAGTGTGAAGGATCACTAACCTCTCTTGCCCTGCTGTGTCCCACAGTTGTAGCACTGTAGATTCTCCATCAACAATTAGTCTTTTCATTTGAAAATCCACACCTGAAAAAAATCACGTGTATAGTCTAACAAAAAACATCAATAATCTTTAAAAAAACACAGAAAATGAAAAGTTATATGCTATATACAAGAGTTATTTCAAAATTCATCTCTTTTAATAGGTTATGAGATTTCAGTCGTTCACATACTTTGAACTGCAATAATCCCCTGAATGTATCTGTCTTTAGAAAATCATTTCAAAAAATATTTTGCCCAGGCATTTTCCCAGAAGCATTGATACAAATGGCATCCTGAACAGCAAATAAGACCTCTCTCTCTTTTATTTTGCTAAACAGTTTTATCAAAGAAATAAAAATATTTTATAAAACAGACTTTCTTTCAAATGCCAAGGAGGAAAAAGATAAATTGGAAAAAAAATCCTGACTCAGAGGCAATAAAACAAATATATAACTATGATTCAATTGGAAGACAAAAATTAAGTCTGCCGCACTGTTAAGACAAGTTTGCTAGTTGACAGCTATAACAGTATACACAAGATGTCAGTCAGAAATCCCTCTAGCTGTATTTAAACCAAAGCTTCAGCAACATTTGGAAGAAACTGAGACAAAAATAGTATAAAAGGATACTATGAAATACTAAGGAAAGAGGAAAGAGCTGAGAAAACAAGAAAGCAATAAAAATGCAAAAAGGTTCATACAAACACTAAAAGTTCCTTATACTGAAATTCTCTTTTCTGGTGCTTTGTGTTGTTCAGAAACAGGCTTTGTAAAGAAAAAGCTAAATTAGACCAGTACCCTACAAACCTACAAACAACTGTTAGGTACTGCTAAGCTTTAGTACTCAATTAGCTCTCCCACCCTAAGTAACTGTGTCTGTATATGCAGGTAACCCTAGCAAGCAATCACAAATGGAATCTTTTCACCCATTTCTGCAAAACAGCAATGAAATTCATTTAAATACTTTAAAAAGAACAACAACTATACCCAGAGTTGCACTGGTATTGCCTCGAAATTCATTCTTGCAAAGTCTCATGAGGAAACTGGATTTTCCCACTGCTGCATCTCCAGCAAGAACAATCTTGAAAGCCTTCTCTGAACTGGGGTATTTTAGAGTGCATTCGGTTGCATCTGACTGAAAATAAAAATAATCCCTCTATTGCAACTTATATAGAAAGTATATTCTCTGTATTGCTCTTTTTCCTTTTTCCCCTAAAGAACTGGTTACCTGGGGAGTGAGAGCAGATATGTATTTCCGTGTTGAAGCAATTGAGCTGCTTCGACTCACTGGTCGTGAGGGCTTCCAGTCTAATACTGCAGTACTGTTATCAGGACTGTACGCTTCTTCATCCCTGATCTCTGGAACCTGAAAATACAGATTAATTCTCTGGTTAAAAAAGTACACTTTTTTGGAAAGGCACAGCCAAGATTCATTAAAACATTTGTTTTAACAGTTTGGATTAAAAGAGATGAATGACCAAATACAGTTGTGCAATTCTAGTAAAAATACTGTGATTATTCTGTTCTTATTCACATTTGCTGTTGACTATAGCCTACATATTGTCCTTAAACATGTTTATGGTTTGGCATACATTCTTTCAGTACTCTTTCTGATAGAGTAAATTAATTTCCATATGAAAATTTCAGCTTAAGAACAGTAACAATAAACAAATACTTTATTTCAAAGCCTATTTTACAAATATTAAGAATTTACCTACAAGACACTACTCTTTATGATATTACTACTCAAGCTAAACTAAATACAGCACAGCTGTAATCAACACTATTCATAGGTTAGTCTCCACAAAGAGAGATTAAATGTCTCTACTAAAAGCACAGCAAAGGAGTTGCCTTAAAAAACCCCATGTTCTACTGTGTTTGATACTAGTCTTGCTATGTAGTCATCACTAAATCTTTCCATTTTGCTAACAATAAAATGGGCGTGACACCTTCTTACATTTTTAAATTCTCTGAGACTTAGCGTGTAAGTCAATGTATGCACCAGTATTCTTTTCTCATATATGCTTTTCTCCTTCACTGCCACAGCATACTAAGAGGAAGTGACTGGAAATGTGTTTTACTTCTATAGTATCTGCTTTTTTATCATTAGAAAATGAGCTCCTCTCTCCAAACTGTTTAACAACCTTAAAAAACCATGCATAGTCCAAAAATAAAGTTACTACCTCAGAAATCAACCAAAAAATTTAAAAACGAACGTTTTATTTTAAAGAGAACTAAATATTTACGCATTCTCCAAAACAATTTTACTAATCTTATTTGAATACATATAACCCAAATACTTAGTTTTAACTGCCCTATGGAGAATGATCCATTTTATTTTAAAAACAGGAAACTAATTTTGTCTCAAATCAAAGGTCTTTCTCAGAGAAGGAGTAAATCTGGCACTTACATCTGTATCAGAAGCATCACCACCAAAGCCTTCTTGCATACACTGTGGCCTTTGAAAAATCCTTTGATGCCTGTATTCCACTTCTGAATCATATTCATTTGAATCTCTCAGGGTAGATAAACCACTGTCAAAACAACTCTCAGGTAAGCTGTCAACTTCACAGTTTATCCTTTGCATAGGATCACAAACGGCTAAAGAATCAAAATCTTCATCCACACAAGACGAATGAGATGACCTAATAAGAAAATGTTGGAGGGGAAGAGAATAAGTTATTCCACAATTGTTTTTCCCAACAAAATCTGAGACATTCTGAAACAGGTGATTTTTAGAAATGCTAAGTTAAAGCCATATGTCAAGCCTATCTTGCCTTTATAAAGAATTTCTTTCTCAATCATCTCTCTTACAATGCTCAGTTTAATTTATTTAATCTATGTTATTGATGATGACTTCCCATGTTTCAGTATGTCTATTTATTAATTAAAAAAAATGTTTAAAAACATTCAGAAAAATGACATACTATGAAGACATCAAAGGCAGAAAATTATAGACAATGGTTTAGCTAATTTTTGGCCTATTCTAAGGCATAAAATGACCTTGACATACTCTGTCTCATTTAAATGATTGCACTTGCTCGCAGAAGCACACATGCTAATAAGGAACAGCTATAAATATAGAAAAGGGAGTAACCAAGTTCAGGAGATCAGTAATGGTGGAAGAAGTCACTGCAATACATGTTCTTACAGTTTGGTAGGCTATGTAAAACCTAAGATATTACACAGAAGTCCTTTCTTTTCCCTCACCCCTTCTTCAAAGGCTTTTTGGTTTCCATTTTGGATGCTGTAATATATAAAAATACTTTAATGGATGCAGCAATGACAGTATGGCTTACAGGAAAAAAAAGCTTTTATTTATGTAAATAAAACTACATAAAAGAAAGACTAATAGAGTAAATCTTAAAATAATCAATCTGACAAAAAAATGTATGATGGCTACAAGCATTATTATGCTCCTGTAGCAAGACAGGAACAGGTACAAATTACACTGAGGTAAAGAAGGTCTTCAAGTCACAGCACAGAGGAGAGAAACAGTCTGGCTTTGCTGTATTGGGAATGTATGTGAGGAACTGAACTGCAAAAACAGACAAGGTCAGCATCAATCCTTGTAAAAATAAGTTGGTCCCAGAGGGGCTGGGACTTCCCAGCGTGATGGCACAGCACAGCAGAGTACATTGGGGAGAACACCAAATTATGAAGTGAATAATGAGTCGAATTCCTGCACGTGGCCAAATGGGGGTGACAGGGGTATCATTGTTCCATGCAATAACATTCAGAACTATCTAATTTACATCCCTTGAAGTGATCTTTGCTTTAGACTATCACAGCATACATGCTCTTTGCATTTATGCACCTAAGAGCCTATACCAAATCACTGAAATATAGAAGAAGAGTGTATACTATAACAAAGTTAAGCTTGTCAGGCATTCCCTGAAATAAAGGTCTTTAGTAGCAAACTTTCAACCTCACTGAACCATGAATTCAATGCTGGGAATTTCATACATGCTTAAAGCAAGTTAGACCAAGATGTGTGTTACAGATTAAAAAAAGAAAAAACATACCTGCGCAAATTGCTTCAAACATGTTAGAATGCAAATCAGTAGCTCTTAATGCCAATCTGCTGTCAGGAGACAAAGTACTGAAAACAAACTCTCTGTCATTTGATACTAAGTCACATCTGTTAAGAGTGAGTTTTATTCCTACCACATAAGCCTTCCTCTAAAGTAGCTTGTATTTCTCACTTTTGTGGAAATGCAAGGATTGCACTCCTTTAGAAAATTACTCAGTGTAGTATGCAACTTAGTAGTGGATGCCTTTCAAAATTTGCAGAGGGTCCAAACAGACAGGCTGCATTCAGAAGAAGGAAACAGTTTCTGACGAGCAAAACTTTACAGCCAACAAACACATCTCACAGAGACAGCACCCCTATCCAAGATACTCTTCTCTCTGTAAATGTAAATGTAAATGTAACATACAGACTACTAAGAACTCTAAAGTTCGGAGTACGAGTGAAAGAAAAAGAAGACAAAATAATCTATTAACTGAGTAAGGACACACATTTTAGCTGGCAGATCTAGCTGTTTAAAAAAAAAAAGTGTGGAACCATAGCATGATTGACAGTGCTTGGGGTTGTCTCCATTGCCCAGTATCTTCAGTGTCTCTGCAATGATCTGAGGAAGGTCTGATCAATGACATGTATCCAGTAGGTACAAAAATAAATACCTGCGACCATTTGATATCTGCATTTAGATATCTTACTGTTCTCTGTGACTTTTACTGCACTAACAGCCAAGTGCACTCACTGCTCTGGCATGTCACTATGAGATGAGGGTGCCTTTTCTTTTGAAGAATTAGGCCCACATTTGTAATAATTAGTACATGGGAAAACAAGACACACAAGCTGAATATACAACTGAAAACGTTTTATTTCTTAAGTACTCGGTAAGCTAGGTAATAGAGGTCCTCAGAAGATTTTTGTAGCTTTTTGGAGACAAGGAGGGCAGATCAAGAATCAAACTAGAATCGAAACAGCAAAACAGTCCAAAACCAACAAGAGGCTGTCTGAACTCTCCATAAATTCATTATTTGGACTGAGAAGAGTTTTCCTGAGCTTTCTGAAGTAATTGAAAAGATTCCTATTGACTTCAGTATACTTTGAATCTTATGCTGTGGTCACACATTCCTTTCAGACAGAATTATTCTCTCTGTTATTTGAGAGCAATTTGCTCTACTATGAAAAGTGTGATGCCCTAGTCATTTTTAACTTAACAAAAGCAAGCCTAGCTTACCTGTCATACCGTGGATTTAAAGGAGAATGTCCACCATTAAATTTAGGACTGCTTCTAGAATTGGTACTTCCTGGTGAGGTGTTTGCTAACCGCTGCAACAGATACATAACAAATGCATAATAAGTTTGATAAACAGAGTGAAAGCATCCAGATTTGTTGTGAAAAGAAATATGCATCATCAAAATGAAAAATGTGTATTTTAGTATGTATTTAACTACTTACATTTAATTAAACCTCATGCTTTATATAGGGATGAGGGTCAAAAGGCCTATTACATACAAAATTTAGACCCTACTGCTGCCTTAATACTGAACCTACTAACCACATTCAATCACAAAAGACAATGGAAATTTCAAGAAGATTATTTTATTGACTACACCTGAAGACTCTGAATTGCTAAACTTTGAAAAGTAATATATAGAACAAGGCACGTTGACTACTAAAAATAAAATCGAAATGTCACTGGCCGAGCTAGTGTCAGTAGAGCTACCTCCTAATTCTTGAGAGAGATAGTGAAGGAAAGGTCTCAACTGATACAATGTACAGAGTATTCTGTACATTCTGCCATGTCTCTACACATTTATTCACTGGAAACAGTTTCTTCTGTGTTCTCTGTAATATGCTTCCTTTTGTTTCAGGGCATGACAGAAGGAAATGGTATCTCTTATTGCATCTGTAGTGATTATCTAGTAGCTTGTATCAGCAAAAAAGCACTCATGTTCATTGGCATGGAACACTGGAAACGGGCAATGACCCCTATCTTCCTCCTTCCTGTCCAGTTTTGTCTTTGAGGGCCCATTATTCAGGCTCCAACCTTCTAAAAAAGTTAGTTGCTTTACTCATTAGCTCAATCATTAGCTTTAGAGTTTAACAGGTTTCACAGGACTAGAAAATGGCAGTGTAGAGTAGGTTTTTTTGTTATTTTCAAGCCTTCCTTTCTCTGTTTTGGAGGATGTCAGGTTACACCTGTTATAACAGTTCCCATGGAGTTGTAATAGCCCAAAAGGGTTTGACTAAGGTCTTTATTATCAGAAGTCCTTGCTATTTATTTTCCCAGTGATCTGCCTGGACAAAAGTTCAGGTTAGGTGAAGACCTTGCTATTGAGAAAGGGCAGATTTCTGAAAAAGTGTATTTTCAGTGGTAGGCAACTCAACACAAACATATTCCTTTAGTTTGAAAGAAAAACTGCTGATTTATTCACCTCATTAAATACATCTGAACACAGTATATTAAAAAAATTACTACTTTCCAAAGCATCTCAGAAAGCAGGTGTGCTCCAACAAAACCCCATTATTTCACAATGCATTAGTAAAGTCTAACAAGATTCAACTACACAAGAGTACCCCCACAGTGAGTCCACTGATTTAAACTCAATTTTTTCTGAGACTGACCCACTGAAGTACCAATTTAAATTTGGTATGTTAATTCTTACACCTTCTAGTACAATGTAACAAAATCATAAATACATACCAATGATCTGTTGTACTTGCTGAAACTGTTTTCAAGTGCACTTCTTAAACCATCATTGCTGTCATGTAACTTTCTATTAGCTGATCTAATAAGGAAACACAGTTTAACTTGCAGGAGTAAAGAAAACTTGAAAACTAGGTAACTTATCACAAAGAAATATTGAATAAGGACTTATCAAAAAACCCTTTTTTTTTCTTTTGATAAACACTAAAGAATAAGATGAAACTACAAACATGTTGACACATACTGAAAAAAAATCATCATATGTGAAAAAACCACAGTGAAGTTTAGTCCCCAGTGCCAGCTTAGGAAACCTGTTTTCACTTCTGCAGCATGGCCTCTGGTCTGCGGAGCGGAAAAAAATCCTGTAGAAATGGTCACCAAAAAAAAAACCAAAAAAATCAACTAGTACAGCCATTTCTGTACAAAGTGAATACCCTCTAAATATTGCTGAGGTGACTCTAAGGACAAATGTGATTCATCTGCTTGAAAGAAAGAATTTTTTTAGGATAAAGAAACTAACTAAAGATATAAAAAAATCTATTCATTGTGACCCTCCTTAAAAGCAAAAATTTGTGCACCTCTTGTATAATACTGTGCACATGAAGTACTTCCCAGACAAAAATAAGACAGGGAGTTACTGGAGAAGCAAAGGCAATAAAAGAAAATGAGTCAGGCAATAATTTTTATGATAGCATGGATAGACTCAAATCTCATTCAGCTTATCATAAAGAAATTCACTGGGGCTAAGAAAAGAAAAAAAAATAAATGCAGAGTTACTGTCTCAGTAACACAGTGGTCTTACTAGCAAAGTAACATCTACAACAATTAAGCACAATACCTTCCACAACAGTTGAGGTCATTTCAATATTTTCACTTTGTATTTTTTTTCCAAATCTCAAGCCATTCTTTTGCACACAAAAGAATGCATTGGGACAAAATTTGATAATAAAAAACTGAATTACTAAAAACTTACTGCAGTATTTCAATTTGTCTTTCCAGATTATCTCTGTCTTCAGTATACTCTCGGATAATTTCTAGGTCTCTGGAAAAGAAAAAAACCAAACACCAAGCTTAAATAAACTTATACCTTACAGGATATCCTTTTTTTTAATTTTTATAATGCTGCTTTTGGTAGAGTTTACATTTATGCTGACACATGTTGAAAGCAGTTTTATGCAAAGTAAGATCACTTGGTGACTTCATTAATCTCTGCCATTATAACTCAACAAAGACTGAAAAATAAAAGAAGTACAAAATAATCATACGGATTTCTTCCTTTCCCCTGAAATATAATTTGTTTTATCTGAAGATAAGCACTCAATGAAACTGTCACTTGCACTCCTTTAAATCAGTTACTAGAAGCAGCTTTCATCCACTTCAGAAAAAAATGCTTGAGATTGATGTGGAAGGCTTCCAAAACTATTCTCCCTAATATTCAAACAGATATTAATCTGAGTGCATGCCACAGAGAAAAAAAACTGGCTGATGCTGCACTCTTATTTCATTCCTAACTAAAGTCCCACTAGAATCAACAGACATTCTTGCAAAATTATGAGAGTTTGCATCATATCCAGAACTTGCTGTTTCAGACATAAGCACAGCAGTGATGGTATGGGGTCAAACTTGTACCTGTCCTTTATGGCAAACTTAGAAAAAAACAACTGCATACATAATTACTACATCAGAGAGCAGATTTTTTATCCTCTGGTGAAAATTATCATGTAAAAGTGTCCTAGAGTAACTTACCTCTCAGTGTTCAAAGACTGATCTGCATACTCGCTTTTCAAGCTATCTAATTCACTCTGTAGAAAAGCTATATTTGTCTGTGCTTCTAAAAGATCTTTCTTAAGTTTCTGATTTTCCTTTAAAAAAGGAAGATATCAGATGTTAGATGTCATAGTCACCTCCACAAAATGTTCATAAATTATAATGGTAGAATAAACATCATCAAAATTACATAAAAATGAAACACTAAAATCTTGGCATAGAGGGGGAAAGAAAATGAAAGAACACCAAGTCAACAGAGAAGTCAGTAAACTAACATGCAAAAACTTTGGATTTTTATTTCTCATTTCAGTTACACAAAAAGGGGACTATATAGCCTCAAGCCATTTCTAAGTGTTATATATAGAATGTGCATGCATTTATACAGAACAGGTACTATTCCAACTTAAAGAATCTCATAGATTTATCAATGACTTTAAAAGTTTACTTTGTAGCTTACCAATATTAAATGTAAAAAAACTCCACAAAAACCAACAACAAAACAAAACAAAAACAAAAACCCCCCCACACATAAAAATCTTCACTGCAGACTAAAACAGAGGCTAGATTAATATGTTAATGATAATAATCTCTTACCAGGAACATATCATGCATTCTTTTTTTCAGTTCACCCACATCTTCCTTGTGATTTACATTTTTGGATTGCTCCTCCAGCTAGACAGATAAAAAAGTGCACGACAAATGTATTTGATTGTTCTGATTCAAAGTACACAAAAGCTAATGGAAATCCCACTAAGTATCCCCTGAAAGGTTTTACAGCTACTTAAGTTTTTAAAAGTTAGAGTTTTGCCATCTGTGCTGGTTGGCAGCATTACTCTAATAATCACTGGCTTTCTAAAAAATTTTTAGATCAATAATTAAAAAATGTTTAATGAGCATTTTGCTCACCTACTCTTTAGGTATAAAATATGCATAACTAGTGACACAAGTCAACTATTGAGAAGATACAAACAGGTGTATTCCCACTAAGTTAAAAAAACCATAATAAAAAATTACTACTACCTCAGCTGTGTAGTATTTGTACAACCTCTCATGTTTCTTGTGAGAAATTTCTATTTCTATAAATGCTCTTTCAAGTTCAATTCAATATAAAGAAAAAAAATGTATCCATATTGGTTGCTATGATTCTGCTAAAACTTACAGCAAAAACTAATGTCAAAATTAAGTCCAGATTACAAAATAACCCAAAACAATCTCATATCTGAGATTTCAGTTTGCCTTACTACTAGGTATCAAATTAAAAGATCAGATTGGAGTTGGGTTCGAAAAGGCACTATATTACTGTAAATTACTATATTTGGGTTGCCAATTTCATTTAAATCTATAAATTATAAATACTTTGAGGCAATATGATGGATTATTTCTACCAAATACAAGACTAGATAACCGCAGTGTTAACAACCTGATGGACACTTGATGGACCTAGAAAAGTTTTCAACAACAGAATTTGGATAACAGTTGTTCCTTTTCCTAAGAATTTCAACAAATTACTGAAAATTATCTGCAGTTGCCATTTACTAATACACATTAGATTACAAACCTATAATTATGATTATCCATCTTGAGGGAAGCATTTCAAGGTCAAAATCTTTTAAAACACTTCAAAAACTCACCAGACTTCAACTCACCTTTTTAAGCTTTTTTATTGTCACCTGAAGATCCCCAACTTCAGTATCATACTGGCGCTTCAGTTCATTTAGTGCTTCTTCAGCTTTTCGCTTCTCCTGCAATATTTTCAATTTCATTAGAAGTTGAAATAGGTTTCGAAGGTTTATAAAAAATTCATTCATCATTTTGGAACCACTCTTAAATTAATGTGTGCAATTTTGTCTTTCCATTGTGTCAACCTGTCCCTTCCTTAGGATCCACAGAATCTGATTCTGTAATTGCAATCCACTTATACAACATTCATAGAAATAAAATGGTAAGGTGGAAGCCAAGATATGAGCCAATTCAGTGTTACTTACATCTCTTGTGCTTAACATTCTCAATATCTTAGGAAAGAATAAATAAAATCCAACCTGAAAAAGTGATCAAATTTTATTTGTACATACATGTAAGTGTGTAGTGTATATATAGATGAATACATACACACCCATGCACAAATCGGGGCATTATGTTCTTTTTTCAAACCAGTCTTCTATGGCTCAGCATACAATGTGCAAGTAATAAAATTGCCATGCCATCATCACTTAGTTTTTTATTTTGGTTTTTCTCTTAAATTTTTTTGCTCACAAGTGTTGAAATGTTACGGGGCCATGTCAGTAAAAGGTAAGCAGATGACAGTATCTTTAGTTTCATATGGTACGCAATATGAATATCAGTATCTGAATGCAGTACTCAGTCTGAATATCAAACCAAGTACACTATTATGAGTTTTATTTTAATCAAGACAGAGATTTTGAAGAGAGGCTACAACAGGCACAATGAGAAGAATGAGTGTGGCATGCTATAAATTAATATGTGTTTAACTCACTCCAGTCACTCCCCAGGGACTTCAGTGCAGTTTCACAACACAAGAAATCAGAATGCAGCAGTGACTAGTGGTGCCAATGAGACAGGTTGAGTTTTCACATGGAAAAGACAGACATGGACTTTGCTCAGAATTCAGTGCTTTCCTGTAGGTGATGTTGAAATCTATGTGTTAAAACAGTAATCAGAGTAATCAGTTTAAGCTGAATTCCCCTACTGTTGGCAACTATATAGGACTTCTCAGTATTGTTTGGTAAATATTTGTTTCCCTTGAAGCAACAAAATACAGGACAGGTTCTGCAGAGGCAGGTGTCACGGTAGCATGAGTGAGATCATTGACAAACAACAGCCTTGATTACAGGCATTAAGATTAATGGCTTAGCACAGTCCCACAAAGTAAATAACTTAACATTTACTCTCAGGGCGTTTTACTAGGCGGAGTATGTGGAGCTACAAGGGAACACTGAGGAGTGAAAACGAAAAAAGCGCTTTCAGAAACAACAGCTCATCTTTCCTACCAACAGGTTAGATGTGAACAGTGAAATTGCAATCCCTGCAACTTGGTGTCAAATCAAGGACTTTATAGAATGAGAATACAGACTAGAAGTGTGTAATACACAGAAGATGTACATAACTGTTGATGTTCTCAGAGTGAGCAAATAAATGCACACATCCCAGTCACCCTTTTAAAGCAGTGAAAAAGTCCTCACTCAGGGCTCTCTTCTGGAATTTATCATTTTTTGAGAAACAGCAATTTTCCAGAGAAAATTTATTTGTTTTCTAAACATAACTGCTTAGTCTCTCTGGAAATGAACATTTATCTCTACTGAGAGATGCATCACCAGTAGTATAGTACAACAAACTTTTTTTGCAGTGGTGATATCTTTATTAACATTTTTATGCCATTATATTTTGTTTCTAGAAAACAACTGACTTTTATGGTTTGGCAGGATTGTTTTCTCTTGTATAGAAAAATACGTTATTTGAAGCAAATCTATCAGAATATCATTTACCTTCACAGATCAACTACTGTGAACAACTTAAAATCAACAAGTTGTCAGAAAGCACTTTGTTGCTTCTAATTCTGCAAATGCTCTGGTGAAAGAACCCATAGCAAACATATACAGACATTCAGTATATTGTGTCTCCTACCGAGCAATAATTATGCCCATAGTGTATGTTTTAATTAGTGCATATCTTATGTCTTAGAACACTTTCACAAACTGTTACTCTTATGCATATTATAAAGTTAGGCTTATATTATATTAATTTAGTAACAGTTCAAAACGAAGCAGACAACTGGTTTTGCTGCTTTGAATTACACAGTCACATGTGACTCTAATATATCTTTTGGTGGGTAAGGACAAGAGGATTTTTGTACTTTTCCATCAAGAATGCCAGTTGGTTGAAATAACAGCTAAAACTCAAGCACATCAAAACAGATTTTCCCATCAATTTTGGGAGGTGCAGGCCCTCACACACTGTTATCACAATTACCCTCTCTTAAGTCCATAACTCTATAAAATGTAGTTGCAGGATTAAAATGGAGGAAAGAAAGATCATTACTCCAGGCAGATACACAAATTAGGACTAAATGATCTAAGCACTAAATTCTACATAATTTCATCTACTAGTTTCCATTCCTTTATGGTGAAAGATCATTTTCTCCGATCTGTTTGCAATATTGGTCTCAAAAAGAAACTCCCCTTGGCCAGCATACCCTCACAAAAGAGAAAGACATTTTTTTTCTTGGTTTTCATTACATCTGAGCAGACATTCCTCTTTGAGAAAGCATTAAGAGCATTCATTTTTATCTCATGCATAGCTTCTTTTCATCTAGGCCCTGCTTTCAGCAGCTTTGAGTCAGCTCATCAGGATCAAAACCATACTTGGCCATCAATTCTGCTTAAGACCACTGAGAGTTTGGTAATTATGAAATCCTGTAAATATAAATTACTCACTTCCTTTTTAACATTATGCTCTGCAGCTTGTATCCGTTGTTCCATCTCTTCCTCTAGCTCACTTAGCTGAACTGCTGCTTTCTCCTGAGCTCTAAAATTTAAAAAGAAATATTCTCTTAGCAATTGCCCTCTGGTTTGACAGAAACACTATGTGAAACACACCTGCTTACCTCAACTGAAACAAATTAGACAGTCATACACGGAAACACTTTAACATTGCCCAGACCTTGAAACTGATGTGCCTGGGAACCAAGATCCCAAATTATTTTGAAGAGACTGGTAAATTAGATTTTAAATAGTAGCTGACAGATGATGATTAGGCTGAAATACATCATATCTGCATTTTTAAAATTAAGTTACAAAGACAAAAGGCCCCTCAGGTTATCCTGTGAAGAGACTTCAAAAGGGTAACTGCAGCAACGTGCATCACCCACACACACAAGATCTCTGTCCCAAGCTAATCTGTTTGGTTGTGCCAGTAATTATTTGAGACTGTAAATGCCAAGTAGTTAAAATAGGTAAATACACTCCTTGAAGCTCAAGAAGCAAAAATATCATTTCTAAAATGAAAGCATAATGGACATGTACCATAAAACTCAAAGTTGCAGCCAAGGAGGAGGAGTCAAAATGTTTTAAGACATTTAACATAACAATAGAGTCTACAAAAATTTGGTCCACAACGTATCCAAAGTATGAACACAGAACCCTTTGCAAGCTGCGATACGTGTTTATGCACAAGTGCATGCATGGCTTATTTTGGCATTAACTCTCAGTAGTTTAAGCTAACGAAGCATGATAGACAAGAAACTGCAGAACTGAACTAGAAACACAACTCAGTATACCTTTTTACTGCTATGGCCAAAGTTTCCATCTCTGTACTTTGAAGTTTGATCTCTCGGATGAAGTTCTTAATTACACGCTCGTATGATTGGATTAATCTTGGTTCCGCTATGTGTATGTTCTGATACAGAACACTGACCTGCTCTTGTCTGAAAATGAGAGAAACCATGTTAATGCACTTGGAAAAATGTTCTACAACAGGTTTGAAAAATTTACTGCAAATCAAGATGGAAAACCTCTTTGCCTAGTTTTAAAATTTAGCAAGCTAGATAAGGACTTTGAACATTCAGCACAGTATGTCTCAATTCTTCTATGTTACATTTACTGTTCCTACTTCTCTACTTTCATATAGCTACTGTAAAAAAAATAAATTCATAGTTGGAGAATTGCTAACATGTGACACATTTCATAACTTCCTAGCACTTCAGTAGTTATCCTTCAGAACTGTAAACTGCTCACCAAAACAGACAATAAACTATTCCAGAATAGTTTCAAATTTTAGACAGAAGTAGACACTGTTCATATCCAGAAATAGCTGCTGAAGAATGTCACTCATTCAAAGAGTGTAAATATATACACAGTCTTTTAAATGAGTCCCACGTAAAATAGAAATAGCACTAGCCACAGTGAAATGGACAGTTTATCAGTCTTGCAAGGCAGATAAATTCAGCACACTCTAAAATATAAAAAAATTTTAGTCAGCATACAAGATTTTTAGAAATATGAAATACAAACATGATACAAACATCTATGTTCTGCAATTTTCTATTTTCCTTTAAATTTCACCAAAATATGCTTACTAGTAACATTGTTTCTTAGAAAGCAGGCAAACAGTAGGAAAATGACTTGTTACTTGACCCTAACATAAAAGATTTGTTACTTAAGCAAATGTTTTCATGACTGTCATGCAAATCAGAGGTCACTGACACATGATTGGAACTTCAAGGACCTATATAACTATATATAACATATATAACTATATAACATGCACAATGTCAATACCAGAGACTTCCTACCATAGAAATTATTAATGGAGTAGCAAAATTGAAGATTCAGTGTCTTACACTGATGGTGAAAACAATTAGACTGTACTTTGTGCCAGGAATAGAATACATTTGCAGTGGAAGAGTGCAATGTATTTCCACAACTTTCATTCTCTTAACAAGAATGTCACACCCACAGCCACTCCCTCTTCCAGCTTCTTCTGAACACTCTCAGAGTACGCAGGGGATGCCACGAAGGCGGCCAAGGCTCACTTGGAATATTAAGGACAAGAAGAGCTTCTATAAGTACATCATCAGCAAAAGAAAAATTAGGGAAAATCTGGGGCTACTGCTGAATCAGATGAGTGCATTCTGGTAACGCAAGACACAGAGAAGGTAGAATTACTGAATGCCATCTTTGCCTCGGTTCTTACTGCTGAGGTCAGCCCACAGGAATTCCAGACCTTGGAGGTAAGAAAAGGCTGGAGAAAGGAAGAATTCCCCTTGGTCATAGAGGGTTGAGTTAGAGATGGTCTAGGCAGGTGATGCACCCACCAGGGCTGATGGAGCTGATAAGTGTTGTTGCTAAGCCAACCTCCATCATCCTTTAAAAATCACAGAGAACAGGAGAGGCCTGATAACTGGTAGAAGGCCAATGTTACTCCCGTCTTCAAAAGGGGCCAGAAGGAGGACCGGGAAAACTATATCCAACCAGCCTTCACCTCAGTCCCTGGAAAGGTCATGGAACAGATCCTCCCAGAGGTCATCACCAACCATGTTGAAGAAAAGAAGGTCATCAGAAGTAGTCAGCATGGATTCAACAAGGGGAAATCCTGCCTGATCAACCTGATAGACTTCTATGATGGCATGGCAGGACAGGTCACCAAGCATAAAGCAGTGGATGTTGTCTACCTTGACTTGAGCAAGGCTTTTGACACTGTCTCCCACAACATCCTCGTAGGTAAGCTCAAGACATGGGTTAAATGAATAGACAGTGAGATGGATCAAGAATGGTAGAGTTCAGAGGATTGTGATCAGAGGAGTAGAATCCAGTTGGAGGCCTGCAGTCAGTGGTGTTCCCCAAGGATCAGTACTGGTTTGAGTCTTGTTCAACTTGTTTATCAACAACCTGGATGAATGGATGGAATGTAGCCTGAGCAAGTTTGCTGACAATATGAAACTGGGGGGGAGTGGCTGATACACTCGAAGGCTGTGCTGCCATTCAGTGGGACCTTGAGAGGCTGGAGAGTTGGGCAGAGAGAAACCTAATGAGGTTCAACACGGCAAGTGTAGGGTCCTGCACCTGGGGAAAAATAACCCCAAGTACCAGAACAGGTTGACCTACTAGAGAGTAGCTCTGAGGAGAAGTACCTGTGAGTCTTAGTGGATGACAGGTTAACCACAAGCCAGCAGTGAGCCCTTGCAGCCAGGAGGGCCAATGGTATCCTGGGGTGCATCAGGAAGACTGTGGCCAGCAGGTCGTGGGAGGTGATCCTGCCCCTCTACTCAGCCCTAGTGAGGCCACATCTGGTGTATGGTGTCCGGTTCTGGGCTCCTCAGTACAAAAAAGACAAGGAGCTGCTGGAGAGGGTCCAGCAGAATACCACAAAGATGATCAGGGTTCTGGAGCATCTCTCTTATGAGGAGACACTGCAGAAGTTGGGCCTGTTTAGTCTAGAGAAGACTGAGAGGGGATCTCATCAATACCTACAAGTATCTCAAAGGCAGGTGCCAAGAGGATGGTGCCAGACTCTTTTCACTGGTGCCCACTGACAGGACGAGGAGTAATGGCCATAAACTAGAAAACAAGAAGTTCCACCTCCATGAGAAAAGACTTCTTTGTGTTGAGAGTGGCAGAGCACTGCAACAGGCTGCCCAGGGAGCTTGTGGAGTCTCCCTCTTGGAGACATTCAAAATCCATGTGGACATGTTCCTGTGTAACCTGCTGTAGATGAGCCTGCATTGGCAGGGGGTTAGACTAGATGATTTCCAGAGGTCCCTTCCAATCCTAACAATTCTGTGATTCTTTTCAAAGTGTATGCAAATATACATTCCCAAATTGAAGCTAGAAATCAGTATATCCATGCTGCTGAGCCTCTGCCTTACATCTAAATCTGCTTTAAGATGAAGTAGTCAGAAGCATAAAGGAGTTACTGAAAGATTTCATTTTCCCTCTGGGATTAAAAACTTTTTTATTTCACATTCCTTCTTATTCCAGTGACCAGCTATCACCCAGATGGGTTCAAAATATCTCAGTGACCCAGTTTTAGGAAATATTTAGGCTTAAGAAGCCAAAGAATGACCTGCACAACTAAAACCATGCTGACTATGCTGGCTCCTGGAAAGGGCCTGAAAGGCTTTATCGACCACAGTTGGTCACTGAAATTCTCAGTGACACTTATGTGAGTGTTTCTATGGCAAACAAAATTGATGGGACTTTATTTAATCACTTATGCCTTCAGGAAGAAGTAACACACTTTCATGGACTGGGAAGACTGTTATTGATATAGTCACTCCAAGTATCTGTGATGAATTAGCAGCAAGCACACTATTATAATATTTTATAGACATGCAGGATTTCAGAAGGAAGCAGCTATGTACACACTGTATCAATATGCAGTAAGTATTTGATGTTTATTTGTTTCAAATTGCCATTTTCAATCACTCCTCTGTTTTCATATGCTTTGGTGAATACCAGTGACACCACTGCAGCAGAACAGATCAGCTGCAATTAATATTGCCCAATTCGTTTGTTTGCTCCAAGTTCTCCTTAAATACATGCTATTTCTTTCTGTAAATTCATTAGTTCTTCAAAATTAGTTATCAAAGAAGATTACAAATGGATTTCACCAAGTTGACTTGAACTCTAAACAGTCTGTCTTTTTGCTGGACAAAAAGGCAACTAGAATGATCTTACTTCAGTTTCAGGGAAATTAATTTAAAATGCTTGAGTTTGCCCTTCAAAACTGGTCTTCCCTGAAATCCTAAAATTACTTTTCAATGCATTTAGCTGTACCTCTTTAAGTTCCACACTAACACAACTGTAGACATTCACAAATACTAACGCATAGAAAGAGCATTTTTTAATACACAACATGAAAGACTGTCACTTTGTTCATCTGGCACTATGGTTACACTACCCACCATGCATGCCTTTCTGCTGCTTCTGCAAAGTACAGACACAATACACTAGTACCCCCAATAAGTATAGCATTCTGGCCAAGTAGTGCTCTGGCAGTACTGAAGTACTTCATCCCAAAGGTTTTATAAAACAAACTGTCTGTAAAATTAGTACTTAGTAACTGTAATTAGTCAATATTTGCCCAACTTCACATGAGTTAACTTAAGCAAAGTTACTGTATTTACATGGTTTCAGAGAGTTCCTGAGAGAATTACATAAAGAAAATAAAACTGCTCTGATTATAAAGCAATTTGTAATATGGTAGATTTAAAGAAGCATGGTAGAATACAGGAGGAGCAGCAGAAAGGGCAAAAAAACCCCCACATCAAAACCCCCACAACACTGGTCTTAAGAGATATCAGATATTTAAATTATATTAAGTGTCATAATTTCATTTAACCCACACAGCTATATGAATCCTTATCAGTTCATAGAATTATTTTTGGTTTGCTGATCATACAGTGACCATTTGCCTAATGATCCACATGCCGAATGTTGCTCAGAGGCAGCTGATGGAATTTTTCAATGAATAACAACTCTACAGTTGCTCGATATCTTACATGTGCCCCCTATGTATTTAGCAGAGAGCATGCCGTGTTACATGAACCCCCCTTAGTCTGACCCTAAGGGTAGTATTTGGTTTTAGAACACTATTCTAATGACCTCTTCCTAGCGTAGGTCAGCTTGTAAAATTTCTCTTATCACTTGTAGCAGCTCCATTGTGGTATGGACATGAAGAAGTGCAGCATAAGGTGGTCTGAGCCAGGAATGTCTGAGCTGGGTGTTCGGTGGAAAAGAAAGATCAAGCATTATGCATCTGATGATTGTCCTCACACTGGAGACCAATCGCCTGTGTGTGCCACCAAGAGATAGAGAAGTACCTTTTTCTAAAAAGCAGACACATTGCATATGCCACTCTGCATCAGCAACCAGAAAAGTACAACCATATCTGTTACAGAATGGAAAGGATCTAATTTTGTCACAG